TCGGAAGGAAAAATTACAGCGGACTTAAAATATCATGTCGCAATTTTAAACATGAAAAAAACCGAAAGCTAAGGCGGGAGTTTTAAGATTCCTGGGCTTAGTTAAATATTTAGCTAAATTCATTCCGAACCTTTCAAAACGACAGAGTTGCGTTATTTGACAAGGAATGATGTAGATTTCGAATGGACGGATAAACATAACAAAGAATTCGAAAATTTGTTGTCTGTTGTAACATCAGAACCGGTGTTGGCAATTTATGATCCAAAGGAATCAGTTGTAGTACAAACCGAAGCATCTAAGGACGGCTTGGGTTGTGTAATCATCCAAAACGGGCACCCTGTTGCGTTTGCTTCACAAACCCTCAGTAGTAGTGAGATAAAATGGGCTCAGATAGAAAAAGAACTTTTGGCTATTGTTTTTGCATGCCAACGGTTTCATTTTTATTTGTATGGCCGAGAGTTCACTGTTGAAAGTGATCATGAGCCGTTGGAAACGTTAGTCAAATGAGCTATTGATGACGTAACAATGCGACTACAAAGAATGTTCATGTTCTCTTAAAATATTCGCAAATGTCTATTGCATATGAGCCAGAAAAAGACATGTTGGTAGCCGATTGCTTGTCGAGAGCACAAGTATCTGATGTCTCGGAAATTTAAGGACACTCGAGAGCCATCCACTTGGTGACAAAATCGGTCTCTATTTCAGAGGAAAATTATAATTTATATAGAGAAACGTTAAAAGCTGACGAAAAATATTGATGTGGTTGCACGAACTTCATCTGGGAATTGAAAAAACTCTTGCGCGGGCAAGAAAGATGTACTATTGACCAGGAGTGAATACGCAAGTCAAGAAACTTGTCACCGCCTGCAAGATGTGCGAAAAATTCAAGAGGAATAATCAAAAGTAACCATTAGTTAAGGAGGAAGTCCCCAAATATCCATATCATATAGTAGCAATAGATTTGTTTGAACACGCTAGTTATGACTACATATCGTAATTATAATAGATGCATATCCGAAATATCTGGTCACATTAAAACTTCGTAATAAAACGTGGAAGGAAATAATTACATCTATTACCTTGTTTATACCGACACATAAAGCGCTTTGACCCAGTTCGCTGTGATTCAAAAAGGAAGCATCAACCAACTTTCAATACGCTCAGAAATTTAAAAGTGTGTTGACTCGAATATGTTTTCAAATCGTTTTTTTTATTTCTCATATCGTTTAGAAAACATATATAAACACATCACTCATTTGAAGTGAAAAAAGGCTGCTTTTCTTTATACAGCCCGTTTTAAATTTGAATTATTATTATAACAAATTTAAATTCTGGTTCGCTTGCATTTCGGTTCACCGCGCAAATTAATTATTAAGGAAATATCGAATAAAAATAACAAATTTTGTTTACTTTTTAATACGGTTTCAGCGAGTGCGCTATAAGCACACAGGTATAAATGCTTGCAAGAAATATGTGTTGAGTCAAATCAGTTTTTTGGTTAATACGGTTCTTGCGTTGGCATAAACAGGGTATATACATATCTGAATTTTTTGACAAACTCAGATATCCAACAGTTATCAAATGTAATAGTAGTCCTTTTAAGTAGGCTTAAGTTGAACAATTCGCGAAGGAATGCAATATCTAAATGAAATTCTCAAGTCATAGATATCCACAAAGTAACGGCCTAGCCAAGAAGGGTGTAGGTGTAGCAATAGCGAAAAACATACTCAAGCGTTGCTTGGAAGCAAACGAACCAAATTAATTTCAGTACCGGCTCGCACCGACAGATTTATTTTTTGGTAGACTTCTTAAAACTAAATTACCGATCTCAAACTCTCCTTCAGAAAACAACTTAAAGGAATCGATAATTCAAAACAAATTTAAACAAAAAGGAGATAAACAAAAATATTATTATGATCGCAACGCTAAGGCGCTAACGGTATTGAAGGTGGGTGATTTATTAATTTTCCAGAGAAACGGGAAGGAATGGTACTATGGTAAAATAGTCGAAATTGTTAATGGCCGCTCATTTATTATCAGAGATAGTTTTAACAACTATTTAGACGTAATCGACGCGTTATTGCTCAGGGTCGAAATGAAGACTTCAGTGCTAGTGATTTGTTATACGAGGAAAATTTAGGCAGTTATCAGAACTATGGAACGAATAATACCAACGCAGACTACTGGGATTGAAAATAATGTTAACGGGGATAGTCACACCAGGATTGAAAACACTCTAAGCAATAACGCGAATTGTAATGTGGATTAATCAATGATCTCGGATGAGCATGAAGCTCCCATTATAATAGTCGAAAATATAACACCTGAGATATTAGGTTCAGAAGCAACTAGTTCAAACTTCCAAATGTAACAACAACAGAAACGTATAGAACAAGAAGTGGTCGTGCCTTAAGATCGATACAAATTTGGGCTTGATTATGGAGTTTAAACTTGGTCCAAACGCAGTTAGAGTAATTTTATAATTTCTTTATAAAACACAAAATAAAATAGCATGTAATAAGATCGTACCTGTAAGCAGGGCATTAGAAAAGAGCAACTAATATCAGTACATCACACATCTCTAAAGAAAATACCATCTCTTTCCTTTTCAATTGAAATCGCTGAGTAAGCTAAACGTACCGTATTGTAAATTTTATAAATAAAATCTCAAGCCATCCACTATATATTGTGTTCTAATTATTTACTAACACGTCGAGCGTGTCACCTCTTTCTTATTTCACCATTAAAAATGAGCTACTTTTCGACTTGCTGGGAAGCAGACAAAAAAACTTCGCCAACTACGATTTCTACAGACTATTGTACGAGCTGCCTAATGGTGCTACATATGCGCTTTCCAAAACTATCCCATTTTTACGGTGAAAATTCAAAACAAAAATTGATTTGTTATCTCAATTGAAACAGCAGGTTTTTTACAAAGAAATCATTAATTATCTTATTTATACCTACGCAAGAACCGCATTAACAAAAATATGATTTGACTCAACACATATTTCTTTCAAGCATTTATACCTGAGTTGTTGTGTGAGCGCCCTCGCTGAAACCGTATTCAAAAGTAAACAAAATTTATTATTTTTATTCGATATTGTTTTAATTATTATGTGTGTTCGTCATATGAGTGATGTCTTTATATCTGTTTTCTAACCGATGTGAGAAATAAAAAAGCGATTTGAAAACAAATTCGAGTCAATCAAGGCGAATTAATATAAGGTGATAGCAGGAGTACAAAAACAAAAATTTACATGCATTTTGTTTTTGCTTTGGCGGCATAAACTGTCAAAATCTGTAAGAGTGTGTGTAGAAATTCAAACAAAATCTTTCAATTTGATATCAGAAGCCGTGCGGCGAAACACATACACAAAATCAGCTGAGCTAGTAACACCACCATATATTAATTCGCCTTGGAGTCAATACACTTTTGAATTTCAGAGCGTATTGAAAGTTGGTTTATGCTTCCGTTTTGAATCACAGCGAACTGGGTCAAAGCACTTTTTGTGTTGGTATAAACAAGGTAAATAAAAAAACAATACTTTTTTATTTTTTCCGAGTTATAAAGCCTTTTAGATCACGCAGACCAGTCGCTCGAGCGCATCACAATAATGTTATAACTTTTGAACTACATACTAGATTTTTAGATCTGAAAGTTTTTCAGATATTCGTCTATAATGCTGCATTAAAATGGAAATTAGAAATTTTCTAACACAAATATTTAATTTGAGGGAACCACCCCTTAATTAATAATAATTAATAAAAATTAAAAAAGGGAATTTTGTGTTCAAAAAGTATTAAGAACTGTTGTTAAACTTAAGATCTTTGCAGTTTATTGTGTGAAAATCCAAATCGATCGATGTGCTAACGTCTGAGATATAGCGAGTTATATACAATTTTTGTAAAAATTTATCGCAGTAAGACGTTTTAATTCGTGCAAGCGAACGGAGCCGACTTGACCCGACGAAGCGCCGCTAGCAGCCAGCCCCTTTTTGGATTGAACAAGATTAAAAATGACCAGAATTGAGAAAATTACAAATAAATTTTCGTTTTGAATTTTCCCTGTGTATATGGGACGATTTTGGAAAACGCATAGCACCATCGCATAGCCCGATAAAAGTCTATGGCTGCATTTCTTTATTCATTCTGAACGTTTGGAATAAACGTTCCTAATGATACATATGTTAACGTATATTTCAAACGCATTCTGTTTATTCTGGCTGTGAAATGGGATTATGTACAATGTAGAAAGAAGCGCATTTTCTGTTTGCTTCCCAACTAGTCGAAAAGTAGCTCGTTTTGCACCACCGAGCGCACCTGGGACAATTGACGAGAAACGCCAGATATTTATAAGTAAATAAATAATTACGTATTTTACTAACATACGTTCATTTAATGGAAATTGCCCGCTTACTTACTTTATTATGAAAGTTACAATGTCATCCAAAGTGCTGTGCGTCACGTACTTGGATAGTTTTTTTTCTTCGATTCCATTCTTGTGTAATGTGGCCATAAAATCGGTTAGCGGGCGTGACATGCGAAACTGAAGGTCTAAACTTCGTCCGGCAAATATAAGTGGATCCTGAAAATAATAAAATCATAAAGATGTGATGGATCTAAGTAGTAGAAAATTTACTTGATGAGTTATTGGTATCAATCCAAAGAGTCTTGTCGCCTTTGTTGGACCCCATTCTCCGCTTGCGCAATCCGGCAATGGTACCATCACCGTTTGTAACTCTTCGCAACAAATCTAAAGAAAAAGTAATGTTTATACATACATATGAACATAAAACAAGTAAAGAAGTATAAGTTCGGGAGAAACCGAACTTTATATACCCGGCGTAGGTATCAAATATCGTCGTTTCAACTTTATCTGAACTACCTTTGCATGATAAGCAGGGGTGTTTAATCGATTTCAAACGTTGTCGATAAAATGCAGAGTTAGACTTAACGATATAAATGAACCTGGTTAGGTACAAATCGATTAAGTGGTTACCGAGGTACACCTTTGTAGTTATAAAGTGGGCGGTGCTACGCCCACTTCCTAAAAGTATATAACAGTTATTTATTGTTAGGAGATTGTTGTTCTCAGTTATTGAAATATCGGAGTTTTCGTATTTCTGAAATTTACCGTTATACGGAAAGCGGGTGTAATTCTAGTCCGATTTTAATAATTTTCAACAAGTTGCTTTTCCGTACGAAGGTTATTAAGTGCACCGAGTTTGGTAGAAATTGATAAATCGGTTACCGAGATACACGTTTGTGGTCAAAAGAGGGCGGCACCAAGCTCAATATCCAAAAATTTACAACAATCTAGTTTTCTGATAAGTGGTTATTGTAATCATCGATTTTAAGTGAATTAGCTCCAGCAGTTACTGATTTATCGCAGATTTTGTGTTTCTGTAAATTACCGTTATATGGAAGGTGGACGTGGTTATTGCCCGATTTCAAAGAGTTTCAACAGATTTCTTAGCTAGACCCTACCCAATTCTCGTACCGAATTTTGTAAGGATTGGTGAAGCGGCTACTGAGATACGGCATTTCATCATTAGTGGGCGGGGTCACGCCCATTTTCCAAAAATTTCATAATAATGTTATTATTTACCACAATTCTACTCCACATACTAATTCTCACAATTTGTATCTAATATTTACAGAAATATCGCAGTTTTTGCATTTTTCGAAAATACCATTATATGGGAAGTGGGCATGGTTACAGTCCGATTTCGCCCATTTTCAATACCAACCTACCACATACCAAATTTCGTTGAGATACCTCAATTTTTGCTCGAGTTATCGCGTACACGGACAGATGGACGGACGAACGGACAGACAGACATGGCTTAATCGACTGCTCTTTTCATTCTGATCATTGTATACATTTGTCCATATCTATCTCGATTCGTTTAGGCTGTTACAAAGAACCGTTATGCGAACAAAGTTAATATACCCTTATTCACAAGTGCGCTCGGGTATAAAAACTATAAATTCCTAACTGAACTATAATTGTAAATATATGTAGGAAAAGACGGTTCGTTTGGTTATCTAAATGAAATCTCGTTTA